AAGTAGGGAGATCAGAGCAGTCGCGGAGGGATTTGGGCAGTGAGTTCCAAAGGGTGGGGGCAGCGATGGAGAAGGCTCTGTCCCCCCAGGTTTGGAGCTTGGTCCTACAGGGCAGGGACAGGAGGTTCGAGCTGGATGAGCGTAGGGAGCGAGATGGAGTGTGGTGATGGAGCAGGTCTGTGAGGTAAGACAGTTAATATGGATTGTATGTGAATGTAGGACTTGTATGTTTGAAGGTGCATTCATTTCATATGTATTTTACATCAATAAAGGATATATACTGTATATGTCTAATGAGACATTAAGTTAATATGGATTTTATAATTATTTTGAGTGTCATTTAAACAGCTTACATGATTTAGGTAAAATGCATTACAGAGTTATATGTTATAAAAAAAAAAACTTTTCCATATGGATATACCAAATACCAGTTTATATTATAGTGTTGCCTTTTTACTGGTGTTCTGCAACTGGTTCTGCTTGACAGATAATGCTAGTTTGGGGAAATTGCTTAAAAGAAATTAAGAGCATCCTAAAGTGTTATCAAATTAATAGAGCTAAATCATTATCTTCCCCCTCAGCAGCTCAGTGAGTCCCAGCTGCAGCAGTGCAGTCACTGTGCAGTCTGACTGAGGGAGGTTTTTGTACGGCTCTGTATCACTGTGTGAACACATGTTGACTATTGGGGTAGTGGAAACTCTGACAGTAATAATCTCCTGCATCTTCAGCCTGGACTCCACTGATGGTCAGAGTGAAGTCAGTACTAGATCCACTGCCAGTGAATCGAGACGGAGTCCCAGAGATACGGGTATTTGCATTATAGATCATGAGTTTAGGAGCTTCTCCAGGTTTCTGCTGGTACCAGGCCATGCGAGGATAAGAGGTCCCAGCATCATACACTGGGCTGCTGGTTTTACAGTTTATAGTGACTGTCTGTCCTGAGGAAGCTGATATCAGCTCTGGAGTCTGAGTCACAGTGACTTGTCCACTGGATTCTGAAAATAAAAACAAAATAAACATATTTAAAACTGAATTAGCAATCAATATTAAGTCACACAAGGAAGCTCCAGATATCTGTTTAAAATATTTAGCAAAATTCATTGAGCAATATATTTCATAAAGACAAGCTTGTTCTGTTTTACCGTGAGTGAGGATGAAGAGCAAGATGCTGAGGCTGATCAAAGTCATGTTTGATTGGAGT